CCCAGCCAGATTTGCTATAAGCAGGGAATTGGAGTGTTTCACAGTTTATGCCAACAGTTTGTAAAAAGATGCGACATGTTTCTTCCAAATGTACAACCAGAGACAGGTCATCCATGAGCTGCCAGAACACATTTCACACGAAGCATGAAAAGTCCCAAGAGCTGAATGATGAAGAACTCAACCGCAGACCAACGTAAGCAGCCAAGCATCCCTGAAGAATGCCAGAAAGCCTCACACCCGCCTGCTGCTGTTATTACTACAATTAGCCTCATCTCGATGTATAGGGAGCCAGATGCACGCTAGCAGGGTCCCAGGCTGCACAGTATGAAGCGCAGCCGGGGAGGAGCAGCTGGCAGCGCTGGAGAGCAATGAGCTTGAATCACCACACCCTCCTCCTGTGCCAAGTAGGCAGAACACGCATGCGCAGATGTAGCCCTCAGAAAACGGTGGAAACTGCCACCTCGCTGGTCTATACCCTTTTTGCCATCCCTGTCCCACCCTCGCAGCCCAGCCCCATCACCTACAGAGTTCATGGAGCCAGCCTGAGATGGGGTGAGCAGCAAGTTCCTTCCAGACAGCTTCTCCAAAGGAGGTCTTACAGGCCAAAAGACAACTGCAGAGGCTGGAGAGATGACTCGGCGGCCAAGGACACCTGCTGCTCCTGCAGAGGACCTAGGTTCCATTCCCAGCACTGACATGGTGGCACACAACCACCTGTAACTCCAGGTCCAAGGCCTCAATGCTCTCTTCTGACCTCTGTGGGCACCAGGCATGCATGAGATACAAGGATATCCATGCGGGCAAAACAGTCGTACAGATAAAATTCATTTGATACGTCTTAAAAACTTTTTAAGACAACTCAAAGCTTGCTTTTCAAGCCCAGGGGTTGAGATTTCAGGTAAGACCCTAACTCTTTTTTAAATTTAATTTTTAACTAGCATGTGGTGTTTTCATGCATACTTGGCTTTGGTCAATCTGCTCCTCATCCCCCCCCCCCACCTTCTAAATGTGCTGGCAGGAATGAAGATATTCTAAGGAGGTGCCTGTGTCCCTTCCTTTGGCCATCAGATTTTGGCTATCAGGAATCTCACACTGGGATAAAAAAAAAAAAAAGGCTGAAGCCAGCCAAAGGGAACTCGTCCCCTAGAGAGATATCACCCATTTCTGACAACCTACAGGACAGAGTGGAGCTGAGAAGGATGTGTCAGTGATGGGCAGGACCACACCTTGACAGCACGGCTCAGTTAGCTATGCAGCACCCTTGCCCTCAATAAACCTAAATGTCCCCTGGGGACCCCAATGATGGACTTGGGGGTCACCGCACCCCTCTATTCCCCTTCCCAACAGGGCCACTTTGACTAGATTCCTTTCTCTGCTTTCATTATTGTCTCTTTAACTGCTCTACTGAGGACAGGTGCTCAGCTGCCAAGGCCCACACTCAGATCCTAACAATTCCAGTAAGACTCTCCCTGTCTCCTCCCCACCCCCACCCCTCACTCCCCCCACTCTCCCCCAGAACCCTTCAACCCTCACATTCTCAATTTCTACAGAGTTAGGTTTGGGCTAGGGGCTGATCAGGTCCTATCAGTCTGTAGCAACCCCCCTTTTTCATGACTGTTCTGCAGGAAAAGGCATACCCCCACCAAGAGCCCTCGTATCTGCAACCCCTTAAGAGACTCCCTGGCCTCCATAGGCTCCCCAGTGCCTGATTCCTGGAGAATGGCGGGTGGCATAATCCTCACTTCCCCAAAGGAAGTCTCTTGGGCTAAGTTACCAGACTCCGAGATAGCAGAGAGGTAGAGGCAGCACATCCCCACCCTATAATACCCATCAATGAAATGCACTCCTTCTCTCACATTCTCAGACTCAAACATCCCTTCCTTGGAATGCAGGACCCCTTCCCCTCCTGCTGCCACCCAGGAATCAGCTCCTGGCTGCTGCTCTGCATGCTGTAGACTGTTCATCATGCGACATCTTCACCTTCCTCTGAGACCTACAGAAGGGTACACGTGTTGCCATATGGGCCCAAACTCTCCTCCATGCCCCTGCTATCCTGCTGTCTAAGTTAACAAATCTACGACCCTGAGGGACAATCGCCTTTCCTATGTCACATGTATTTATTGTCCTCTCCACATCCATGCCTTAAAGCCTCTCTTCCCCTCTCTCATGGGCCCCTTTCCAGTTTCCCGACCTCCGCCCACTCACTCCCACATAAACACACATACATGAAAAGTTAGAAGTTAGGATCCACACAGAAGAGAGAACACTGGTGTTTGTCTTTCTGGAGCATCACTTGATGTAATGTTTGCCGGGTCCTTCCATTTTCCTACACATTTTACATTTTCATTTTTATTTACAGCCAAATAAAAGTCCATTATCTATGTGCCACGTGTTCATTACCCACTCATCAGCTGATGGACACTTAGGCTTATTCCTTTCCCGGCAACTGTCAACAGAGCCACAATAACCATGGGTGTGTAAGCACCGGTGTAGGAGGAGACAGTCTTTGGGGTAGATGCCTAGGCGTGGCATTCCTGGGTTATTTGGGCATTCTATATTTAGCTTCTTGAGAAGATTCCACACTGATCTCCACATGGGCTGCACCAGTTTGCACTTCCACGAGCAGTGAATGAGGGCTCTGTTATCTCTACAATCTCACCAGTGTCTGTCACCATTTGTCTGCAAAACGAGCCTGACATTTTACACGGCTTCTGTGTTTCCATGTCCTGTCAACTCCCTTACTGGTGACTTCCTGATCGTCCCGGTGCTTAAAGGTTGTCTCCTTTTGAGCTACTGGCAGTTGATGGGTGCTAGAGGAAAGTCCGTTTCTTTAGAGGTGAGGTTTCCCTTATGTTGTCCTGCTCTGGTGGACCCCATACGTATGCACATACAGGCAGAACTTACTGGATTCAGTGGGTTATTTAAAAAAAAAAAAGACATGCAGTTGGGAAGAGGACACTGGAAGGTATCCAGGAGGAGTTAGAGGGGACAAGACAGGGGTGGATATGATCAAAATGCATTATATGCACTATCAAATTCTCAAAGAATGTTTTCGAGCACTAGATGCCCACCAGCCTTGGTCATGCCGGCAGAGGTTCCCTGAGTAGCATCCTCAGGATGCCCTGTTCTTAGGAGGTTCCTGTGTAAGACTGGCGTGGTTCATCCATGGAAGGGCCCTCTCCAGCCTTGTACTTGATTGATGCCAGAAAGCACCTGGAGTCTGCAGCTGGCTTCCACTGACGCTGTCGAGTATGTGAGTGATAGCAGCTGCCGTGGTGATGGAGCCAGGTGTGGTGATGACTCCCGGAACTCAGGAGGGGGAAACAGGAGGACCACTACAAGTGAGGCTAGCTGAAACTAAAGAGTCCCCCTAAACAGTGTCACTATCAGTCCCTAAGTCAGTCGGAAGTCACAGAATGAGGATCCCCACAGGTAGGGAGCATAGTGACCCAGCAGAGCCCTGAGTCCCGACTGCACACCCCTGCCCATCCACAAGCACTCCTTTCTCACATGTCTTAGTACTCTTCATGTGTCTCCAAAATGAGATTTAAGAGCAACAACTTAGAGGGCAGAAACAAGAGGATCCCAAGTTCAAGGCTAGCCTGAGCTACACAGAGAACTAGACGCCAGCCTGAGGTATATAGTGAGACCCTGTCTTAAAAAAATAAATAAATAAATACAACCTAATAGATGTATATGTGTGTGTTTCACAAGCTCTCTGCAGTGTGAAACATGGGAAAGACCCACTTTGTGATAGATGAGACACCAAGTTTGAGAAAGCAGAAATAGCAGTCTATCTGTTTTTCTCTCTTATTAACACTTTGGGCAGATTATCAAATTTTTAAATTATTAACCTTCTTAAACTTCTTTTCAGCCAGGCGTTGGTGGCGCACACCTTTAATCCCAGCACTCAGGAGGCAGAGGCAGGTGGATCTCTGTGAGTTTGAGACCAGCCTGGTCTACAAGAGCTAGTTCCAGGACAGCCTCCAAAGCCACAGAGAAACCCTGTCTCGAAAAAGGGAAAAAGAAAAGCTTCTCTTTACTGTCTGTAAAACAGACAGCATAACTGATGCAGCCCACAAAGTGAAGCTCTGCCCAGCACCAAGCATGTGACTTTGCTTAGCCAGAAACAGCAGCAACACAAGCTCATTCTTCCCGACGACCCTGATAAAAACACGGCTTACGTTGCCTTCTCGGTTTATTTGTTCATTTGGTTTGTTTTGGGAGTTTTTTTTATTTGTTTGTCTGGTTAAACAGTTGGTTGATTAGGGGTGTGTGTGTGTGTGTGTGTGTGTGTGTGTGTGTGTGTGTGTATGCGCGTGTGCGTGCAGAGGGTGGGTCAGACATCTTCCTCAGTCACATTCTGTCTCATCTTTGTAATATAGGGTCACTGAACCTGGAGCTCACTAATTCAGTTAAACTTGCTAGCCAGCAAGCCTTAGGGATCCTCCTGAAATGGGGTTACACTGCACCCAGATTTCTATGTGGGTTCTGGGGATCCAAGATCAGGTCCTCAAGCTCATACAGTAAATACTTTTGTAACCAGAAATGTCCCCATCCCAGGTCATACTCTTCCCATGCTACAACCTACCCCCAAGTCACACTCTTCCAGTGCCATGCTCTGTCTCTTAGAAGTGAAATCTCTCTCCAGATAATTGTCTTCAGCAAAAGCCAGTGTCAAAATCTCTATCCAACTGACCCCAAATATGGGAAGGAAGGGGAAAGGAGAAACAAGCCAGCCCCTTAGAAGTTGGGAAACTGCCTATTGGAGAGAGGACAGTGCTTGCAGCTAGGGATTAGGCAGACTGGATGCCAAATAACTCCCAGTGCTCAGAACTGACCCTGCAGTGAAGAATCTTACATCTAAACACTGCCAGCACTTCCACTAAGCAAACGGACCATCTGAGAAGCACCTGTGAACAATGAAAGGGCAGCAAGATCATCTCAATAAACAGGTGAAAGAGGGAACGTTGGGAAATCAATTAGAAAATAACCAATACCTCCTGAGGGTTTCAGGTGGCTCCACATGGAAAGGAGCCTGGCTGGCAGAGGTCCGCGTGTCTCCCAAGGCCTGGCTGACTTCCTGCAGCTGGCCTGGGGACAGCTGGGCCACCAGTGGCTTCAGGTCACAGCCCTGCCACTGGAGCAGTGTCTCCTGCTCCTCCAACTCTTGGCTCAGCCATTGTTCTTTTGCCTCCAGCGCCGACATCCTTGATTGGAGAGCTTCGATTTCCTTCTGCAGAGAACGGGGGAACAGATTTCATCCATTAACCCTGTCCTGCTACTAATGAATCGGTTAAATGAGAGCAGGCCATGTGCACCGCAGTCTTGGAGCCCACCCCACCCTTCTGAGGCAGGCCAATTCCAGAAGTCTGCTGAGCTGGGAAAATCATGCCAGCTTTATGTTTCTGATGAGCTGGCAGGAGGAAAAACATTCCCTCCTTCCCAAGCATTAAATACGGACAGGTGCTAGCCAAGGTTTTGACTTGAGAGAACCCAGCAAATGATGCATCACTGGCTTCGCTTCTGATGGGGAAGTGAAGACACTAGCCACTCATATCACACACTGAGACGCCAGCTGTGGGCCAGGTGGGAAAGGCAGCCTGCTCCCAAACACAAGAACTTAGGATGCACAGAGACATAGGAACCTTGACTTCTCGGGTGAAAAGGATCGAGAGAACAAGATGCTGTCAAGGCACGGAGTCTAGAGTCCTTCAGACTGTTGGACCAATTTACTTCCCAGGATTGGTGAGACGGCTCCATCAGTCAAGTGCTTGCCATGCAAGCATGAAGAGCTAATTCCCAGAGCCCATGCAAAAACTGGGGACCCACAGAATGAATCTGCAAACCCAACGTGGGGTAAGGGAAGGTGGAAGACAGGAGGATGCCAGGGACTTGCTAGCCAGTCAGTCTAGCCCAATCAGTAAAGTCTAGATTCAGTGAGAAACCCTCTGTCAAAAAATAAGGTAAAGGGAGAGTGGAGTAAATACCAAATATCAACTTCAGTCCTCTACATACACGTGCACCTGTGTCCACATTCAAACACACACACACACACACACACACACACACACACACACACACACACACACACACACACAGTTTCCCCTAATTTATTAAGCTGGAATCTAAGTTAATCCATAACCATCATCTGTCTCCAGGCCAAGAAATAAACAAGCAGCAGGTAATTGAACACAGTGTGAGCTCAGCGCTGGGCAGATAGCCATCTCACTGTGTAGGAGTCTGAATATAACACCAGACTCTGCTGACGGACACGCCCCCTGTTCCCTCACTGTTCCTAGCTGATAAGAGTACAGCTTAATTCCTGATATCTCCCTATCTCCTGGATGCTCTCTCCACCCACAGAGCAGATTCTCCACAGCTTCTACCTCCTGCACCCACCCAGAGAAGAGAGAGGGATGAGCTAGCCTACAGTCCCAGCGTGCTCAACAAATGCTCGAAACTAACCACTCTGTGAGACCCACACTCTTTGTTGGTCTCGTTTTTGTTTTGCTTTTTGTTTCTCAGAGTCTACATCTCACTCAGTAGCTGTCCCAGAACTCATCTTATCGTCCAGACTTGAACCTACAGCAATAAAGCCTCGGCCTCCCCATACTGGGAAGACAGGCTCAAGTTTTTCTAAAGTATAGTAAAAGAGACATAGCAAAAGACATAGCATCGCTACCATTTTGCATGCACAGTTCAGTAACATAGGCACACATACAAACTGGGCAAGGATCCCCACCATCCAACCACAAAACTCCATCTCCACTAACCACCAGCTCTCCAACCACACCCCATCCCCCTCCCCTACCCCCCACCAATCTACTTCCCTACTTCTTCTAAGTAGAATCTTACAGTATCTTTCATGACTGGCTTATGCGGCATAACACAATGTCCTCTACATTCACCTGCACTGTGCCCTGTGGCACAATGTCCTTTCCCGAAAGGTGAGCGACAGACCTTTGCATTCACCCCACATTGCTTATCCACCCAGTGATGGGCACTTGGGCTGCCGCCAGCTGTAGTAACTCAGAAGTCTCCCCTAGTCTGTGCTTTCATTTCTTTGCAGGTGTGTAATGACAGTGGGATCACTGGGTCCTAAGGATACTGTTTTTAAGTTTTTGAGGAACTGCAATTTATTTTCCATAATGATCCTACATTTTACTCTTTTGTTATTTTTTCCATTTTCGTGTGTGTGTGTGTGTGTGTGTGTGTGTGTGTGTGTTCCCAGAACACAAATCTCTCCCTGTCCCTCAAAGGGAAGTTTCTACAGGTCAAATAATGGGAGGAGACACTAGCTGCTACAGTCAGACAGCAGAGCCAGAAGGTCCTGAGGCCCATAACGGTGTGCAGCCTCAGCCCTACTGTGCAAAGGAGGTTCCTCTGTGCCCTCCGGCCACAGCATTACCTCTGCTTGGAGCCCTTACACTCAGCAAAGTGAAGGCCCGCTTCTGCATCTGACTCACATGGGTAAGAAAAGGGCCAGTGCCTCTCTGGAAGATTCTATACCGCTCACCTGCAATTGCTGTTTCTCTCGAATAAGCCAGTCCCGCCTGGTGATGGATGCAGGTGGACTGTCCTGGGCAGTGGTCCTTGGCTCTCCATCAAGTGGGGCCTCTGGGCCATTGCTGCCAGCCCTGCAAGTAACAGATATGCATTGGTACAGGTATTATGGAACATAAGATGTGTAATATTTGTTTATGATGTGGAACATTTGTTTAGTGATGCAAAGATATGTTGCATTCTTTTATGTTGCATTTGTTTAACTCTGTAAAGCTGTGTTACTTCACTGTCTAAAACACCTGATTGGTCTAATAAAGAGCTGGACAGCCAATAGCAAGGCAGGAGAAAGTATAGGCAGAGCTAGCAGGCAAAGAAAATAAATAGAAGGAGAAATCTGGGAAAAGAAGGTAGAGGAGGACATCAGGGGCCAGTCACCCAGCTACACAGCAAGCCAGGGAGTAAGAAGGAAAGAAAGGTATACAGAAATAGAGAAAGAAAAAAGCCCAGAGGCAAAAGATAGAATAATTTAAGAAAAGTATGCTACAAACAAGCCAGGCTAAGGCCAGGCATTCATACATAAGTACATTTATTGGCCAGGGGCTGGTGGTGGCACACGCCTTTAATCCCAGCACTACAATCTGCTGTCACATAGACCAGGCTAACTCGTACCATCCTAGTTGCCTGTCTGTTGCTGTGATAAAACACCCTGACCAAAAAGCAACAGAGAGAAGAAAGCGGTTTATTTCTACTTCCATCCATCCATCCATCGATCCTCACTAGCCTGCTGTCTTACAGAACCCAGGACTACCACCCCAGCCCAGGGGTGACCCCACCCACAATGGGCTGGGCCCTCCCCCATCAATCACTAGTTAAGAAAACTAATGCCCTACTGACTTATCTATAGCCCAATCTTTTTTTTCTTTTTTTAAATCTTTGTTTTGTTTTATTACTACAGCCCAATCTTATGGAGGCATTTTCTCAATGAGGCTCCGTCCTCTCCAATGACTCTAGCTGTGTCAAGTAGACATATAACTAACCAGCCGGTCACCTACACTCCTACACTTTCCAAGATACCCCAGGTCATATGACTCACAGAAAGTTCAGACACCTGTTACCCCTTCTGTCACATCCCACCCTCCCCCTGAGGGGCTTTTCCTAGGACAGCATGGGACAGGGAGAACACAGTTCACAGAGGTCAACGCCACAGTGAGAACTTGGATTTGCATTTCTCTGGCTGAGTCTTTGAACAAACCCAACCCTCAGAACCTCACTATCCTCCTCATACTGGACTACCTGGAGAAAGAAGTAAGACACCCTTTCCTTGGGGCATTTGCTGGAGACCTCCATCATCTTTAACATGTGCAGAAGTAAAGTGAACACTGGGCCTGTCTGGTGGACACACTCCTACACAGGATGAACATGCGTATGAAGACAGCAGCACGATGAGTCTCTTCCGTGTGTAACTGTTCTATGGTGCTCTCAGCTTCCAACAGCTGTGAAAAGAGAGTACAAGCCCTTCTCTGGGCTCTGGGCTGCTACATGCTCTTCGGGCTGGACTGTGAGTCCCCGAGGGATACATAGCTCTTCTTGTGCTGATGTTCCCAGTGTCCAGCACTGAGTTGGGACTCAGCAAACACCTGCTGGGTAGCTTAATGAGCTCACAGCCTTGAAAATGGAGAAGCCATTTCTATCCCGTCTCCCGCTGCACTCACTCATTTCTTCCCCTTACTGATTTCCCAATTTGCTCAGTGTATGCTGATATTAGAGTTCCTCGAATTTCTTGAATTGATGCCATCTGGGCGGAGGTGGGAGCTAGTGTAGGAAGTCAATGCAGAACTGAAAAAGCAGCTGCAGAGAGAAGCTACAGGTGCAGCACTGGGAACTAACTCTGTGCATGGTAGTGAAATCACATCCATCACTAACCCATAAGCCCCTGTGCTTAACCAACACCCCTCTGTTGGTCTCTCATACTCCTACTCCTGGGCCGGAAAGAGATCCACGAAGAGCCAGGGGTGGCCCCAGGACACATAGCTCACTTATGAAGCAGGGACAGGGTTCTATCTTCCATGTTTTTTGGTCCCCAGAGTCTCCCTCTGTTGCATACTCTTTTCTTTATATTTGCTATGTCTCAATATGTGATCCCACATGGCTGAGCAAATTGGAATCACTGCTATGAAATAATCAGTATGTAAAATGAGCAGACCCCTCTGGGGAAAATAAAAACCTGCAACAGCATGGATGGTGGGGGCGGGTGCCTAAGAGCTAAGAGACTACTCTCAGCCTTGGGGCCCACTAGGACCAGTCAGGTTATAGTGAATCTCCCTCTTTCTGTCTGGTTTCTTTCCTATCACCTGTAAAACCTGATCATGTACCACACAGAAAAGCATGGCTGCAAAATGCACAGACAACATCTTCATTTCCTGATAACGTCTTGTGAGTTTCCCTTCTGTGCCCTGGGTACTCATTCCAAACTGAGGGTCACTGGGCCCTGTGACACTGCAGTCTGGTGTGGCACCCACTTGAAATCAAAGGCTTGTATGCTCGAAAGGAAGAAAGGAAAATCAGGCAGTCCGGGGTGGCATGCTGCCAGCCTACACTTACCATTTAGGTCCCATCTCCGGGGAACAGACAAGCAGCAGCTGTTACATCTGGACAGTGCCAGAGTTCTATCATGGTCAGGCTGGAAATCCTTCCTGTCCTTCATTTTTATCTTTGTCAGACTCTGCTCCTATGTGTTTTAAGTTATCCTCTGGGGAAAGATCTCTGATAAAAGATAGTGTGTGTGTGTGTGTGTGTGTGTGTGTGTGTGTGTGTGTGTACGCGCGCTCGCGTGTGCACGCACCCATTTAGGTAGCAAGAGTAACAGTGTGGATGCCTATACTAGTAAAGAGCCTGTGAAATCACATGACATGGTAAGTAATTAGGGGAAAACAAGGTATAAATGAGAAAATTATCAGTCAACAGCAATGCTTGCCAAACACTCCAGAGAAAGGAAAACCTTTGTTTCTGAGCCTGGTGTGACAAAGAGGTGGATTTTCCCCATTGTTCCAGAATCAGAAATGAGAGTTGACAAGAACAGGCCTAGAAGTGCATCACCCTGAGTCCGTAACTGTGGGGTAGGAGCCTGTGCCAGCCGTTATACATGCAGAGCCCCCGTGGGCTGCCACCCGCAGCACCGCCTGCTCACCCGCTGTCAGAGACAGAGATGAACACACTTCCTCCCACTTACTGAGCAAAGAGGAAGCCATCCATCCTGCTCCCACAAAAGAGACCAGAAAGCCCAGGCACCTCAAGATAAAAGAGTGGAGACTGATTCTCCAAGGTACACAGCTGTCCCGTTTGGGTTCTCCTGACAGCTAGGCTTGAGACAAGGATATGAGCAGATTGTTTTTAGAGAAACAACCATAAGACACCAGAGAACTGGAACCAACAGGGGGAAGAGTCAGAAAAAAATGTATCATCTACCTGATTATCACAGAGCCAACTGAGACCCCATCCTACCAGGAACCTTCTAGAAGAAGAAGAAAAATGGCACATTGCTCAAAATTGCCCCTAGAGGCCAGGGCACTGGTGACCATTGCCCTTGGGGTTATATTCATACGCAACTGTCCAGGAAACAAAAATATCCCTCCATCATCAGCATCATCACCATCATCATCACCACCATCTCCATCATCATTACCATCATCACCACCACCATCACCACCACCATCATCATCATCATCACCATCTCCATCATCATTACCATCACCATAATCATCATTATCACCCCTACCACCATCATCACCATCATCATCACGTACTTCAATACAAAATTTTCTTTTTGTGATGTCTCACTCACACTAATAGCAGAGTTTCAAAGAATGCCTGGCAGAGGAACCTAGGTAAAGTGCTAAGACTGTGACATGAATGTATCCTCAGTCACAGAAGGACTTGGAGGCTCAGGGCAAAAACGCCATGCCAATAGTGTCTGGCATAGCGGCTGCCACAACCCTTCCTTCTGACGTGGCTTGCCCTGTGGCCGACAGGGGAACTGAGCAGCATGGCAGACGGACATGGTCCATGGTGGGTAGTCTCAGCACCCATCAGCCCACAGCAGAGGTGTGTCCATCACAGACGTGGTCCTGTCAGGTGCTCCTGAGGCGCTAGGGCCCCCTGGGAAAAGTGGGGCCACAGGGTGAAGCAGCTATTGCCGAGGCACAAGAAAGTCATTTCAAGTCAGAGTGTGAGCCAGGAGGCAGGGACCATGTGTGCCCCACAGGACAGTGAGAATACGACACCCGGACACTGACTCCACTAGCCAGGGAGCAGCTGTGACAGCAGAACAAGGATCCAAACAGTGGGCAGAGAAAGCTACGAGTCTGACCGATGGTGGCATCTCAGAGTGACAGGGCTATACGAAGAAAACAAAAAAGCAGAAATGTCCCGATGCCTGTGCCATCTACCCAGGGTAACAAAGTGGGAAAGTGGATTCCCACACTGTTAAAGAACCATCTTTAACACGCCTTTAGTCCCAGCACTCGGGAAGCAGAGGAAGGTGGAGCTCTGTGAGTTCGTGACTGCAGAGCAATTTCCAGGACAGGTTCCAAAGCTACATAGAAACCCCTTCTCATGGGAAAAAAAAAAGAAAAAAGAACAAAACCAGAGGCAGGGAAAATCCCTGAGTTCAAGGCCAGCCTGGTTGGTCTACACAGAGAGTTCCAGGACCACCAGGGAGAGAACCTGTCTCAAAAAAAAAAAAAAAAAAAAAAAAAAGGAAGGAAGAAAGAAAAGAAAAGAAAAAAGAAAAAAACCCATCTTGAACTGAGGAGCAGCACGCCTCACCCCAGGACTGGCCCCATTACTGAGCAATAGGGAATAACACCAAGGAGACACTGTAAGGACTGATGGCCACTATTAGAGAGATGCAGTGACCCCCACGCCCCAGTGACTCAGGGGCTGATGAAACAGTTCCAAGGGGGACAAAAACCATAAGCTTTCTTAAGACGTTGACAGTAATTTTCAGAATAAGTAATGATAAAAATTAAGTGGCTGGTAGACTCTGGGGCTATTTACATCCCCTTAAATATGACTTTAAACTTTCATAACCCGTGATGTTGAGACACTATGTCCTCCTCCCATGGCCAGAGGGAATGGGAGGGCCTCAAATCTGATGGTCTCTCATGAGACAGCCCTGGCAGTTTGAATATAGGAACATACGTTGCTTTCATCAGACTCTCATAGAAACACTTGGTCCCAGAAAGGTAAAGAGGTACTTATTTAAGTTACTAATTTGTGTTGAAAGCTGGCCATGTTAACAAAACTATTTCATTTCTGCAGGAAAAGTCCCCAGCATACAGAAGAACCTTTTTCCCCTGGACTCAGCGCCAAGCTCCTGAGAAGTTTGTATCCAGGTCCCCCTGGTGGTCATTGTGAGGACTGCAGGAACTACTGTCTCCTGGAGAGCCTTCCGGTCCAGATACCCTGGTGAGGATGAACTAACTCCTCAGACCACTGAGCAGCTGGCACATACGAAGACAGACTTTAATTATTAGCAGCTCTGTAGCCATGCCCACGTGCTGTGTAAAAATGTGACACTGACGCAGATATCAAGTCATTTTCTAGCTATGGTAATAACCAGACAGGTGAAATTGACAAAAGAAAAAGTCAAGAATAAAACATAGCTAAAGTGAGGAAGATAGGGTCCCTCACTTTCTCATGAGGTGAGGAGGAAGTATAGAGATCTCAGTCAGCTAGTCAGAGGAGAAAATGGCAGCACACCACCAGTTCCCTCCTCCGGCCCTGGGCTGGGGCACCAGAAGCAAGACTGACCAAATTGAAGGTTGTCCTCTGTCTCTCCCTGTCCCTGTTCACACACATGTTGCGAACCTGTATAAACATGTATGCATACACAACTCCTGCAATAGTCAGCTGGAGAGGTAAAGATAGTGCAGTCCCCCTCTGGGGACAGTCATCCTTCAGAATGAGGGGATATTCAAGGCAGCAGATCAAAGGCTTTGGACTGAAGATACTGTCACTCAGGATATTCTAGGATCTCAGTGAGAAGTGTGGCTGACAGGCAGAGGGTTGGGAGGATGGTGGCTTTACTATCTTGAAGGCTGAGCAAGCTTTAGTGACTGCAATGGGACCCGTGGGAGATTATAGACTCAAGCAAGGTTCTGCTGCATGGGAAGCTGGTGCGGGAACTGACCAGTTAGAGGTTGGGGCGCCGGTAAGACTGCATCACTGAAGGTTTTAGGGTTCACATTCCATCTGGATAGCCCAGGAGCCACTGATTCCAGCATGAGGCTTGTCCTTATTGCTTAATGGGAGGTGGGTGAGATCCAAGAGTGAAGTAAGAAAATCCAGCAAGGCAACAGGCTGCTGCAATAACCCAGATATAAGCTATAGGGAGCAGAGGAAGGTTTGGGATAGAGGCTGGAAAGGTGAGTGAGAATGACAGAGAGCTGGCCCCCCGTGAATTAGAGGGTTGCGGAATAGGGATCAGAGGTGTATCTGAGGTAACTGAAGGCAGAAGTCACGACACAAGGAGTCCGGGAGGAGGAGGGCAAAGCAAAAGAGGAGGAGAAGGAGGAGGAGGAGGGGGAGGAGGGGGAGGAGGGGGAGGAGGGGGAGGAGGAGGAGAATAGATTTAGGGAGTTCCTCTTTAAAGACAGTGGGGCTGGGAGGTGACTAGGGATGACATGCTCACTGCAGAAGCATGAGGATCAGAGTTCAGATCCCGGAACCCACACAAAAAGCCAGGCAGACTTGAGGACTCATTTGTAACCCCAGCACTCAGGAGGAGAAGATAAGGGGTCCCTCAGGCAATCTGGCTGACTAAACTAAGCAGAATCAACTAGGTTCAGCAAAAAGTCCCACCTCAATAAAGTGGAGAGAAATCAAGGAAGACACTCGATGTCAACTTTGGATCTCTGTATACACACACACATATGCACTCAGCACATGCAAAAATACAAATATACATGCACTTTATACACAGGTACATGGGCATAAAGACACTTTAGAAGACTGGTTTTTTTGGCAAGGTCTTGCAGAGGAATAAAACACATAGAAAGCATGTACTATAAGAGAGGAATTAGATTGGCTTACACGCTAGAAGCTGGCTAATCCAATCATGACTGCCTGTATGCTGCAGAGGCAGAGAACACAGGAGCTGCTCAGTCCACAAAGCTGGACACCTCAGCAGTCTCAAACCAGGGCTGGAGGCCTGGAAGCTTCCCTGCAGAGCTGTTAGCATTGAGTCCGCATTGTCAAAAGGCCAAAGAAGCTGGAATCTGGTGTCAGCAGAATAGCAGCAGCAGCAGCATAGGACAGAGATGGGAAAGCAAGAGCGTGCATGCAGCGTTGTGCTCAGCCTTCTTTCTTCTCCTGATAACGGTCCCAGGTGTCAATCATCTTGGGAAATGCCCCTGTAGCCCCATGAGTGTGGTTTGCCACTCCAAGACATCTCTTAATGCAGCCAAGTTGACAGCCAAAGCCAACCATCAACCATAATAAGCTTAATAAAGACAAGGATAAAAGCACAGTACCTCTTTAAGGATAAAACGGTGAATTTAATAAACGTATTATTGACCACAGGAAGCGCAGGGTCAGCACTCTACAGAGAGGTGAGTGCTAGGGAGGAATCCTCAGAGGATTGGGATTTGGACAAAATGATACCTGGTGCTTATGTCTGAGACACTGGAAATATGCAGGACCCTACAGAGGTGGGGATGTCAGTGGGAAGATACAGGGAGAGAGGCAAGACCTCAGAAGCAGCAAGGAGAATGGCCAGTGATAGCAGGATGGAGAGAGGACAGAAAAGAAAGCACAGCCAAGCGGGGGCTGTGGTGACGCCCATGGGTACTCACCTTTGGGTGGCTCCATGCAAGGCCAGCTGGGTCTGTGCTGCCAGGTAGCCCAAAAAGCTGTCAAGAGCCGGTTGTTGTGAAGGCAGAACCCAGGGTAGGCGGCCTTTCTCCTGTTCCAGGTCTTCCAATCGCTGTCTCAGTGTCTCTGCTGGAAACCCGAAGAGGTGAAAGAGGGAGAAAGACCGTGAAACTCAGAAAGATAACCCAAGTCTCTCCTCTCAGCACCAGGCAGCTCCATCTGAGCCACCTGAGGCTGGGGACTCTTTTCCAGGCCAGTTGGTGTCTCCTGCAGAGTTCCAGAGACCTTTCCATTGCTCTGTTTTCCCAGCTGTCAGGGGCTGTAGGTACCAGCCTCCATGGTGGTCATGACTATGACCCATACCCAGAGGGGCAGCTGTTTTGCTTTGTTTGTTTTTTTTTCTTAATCATGGTGATCTTTGGGAGAAAAAAAAACTGCCAAATTTGGAGGATCCTAAAAGAGTCATTGGTTGATTGGTTGGCTTTTCAGAAAGGGCCTCAGAGAGACCAGGATAACTCTGAATCGTCTATTCAAATAAGGATTATTGTGAGCTTTCAAACCTCCTGCCTCCATCTCCCAAGCTCTAGAATTATAGGCATGGGCTACCATATCCAGTTTACACAGTTCTGGAGATTGAACCCAGGGCTTCAAGTTTGCTAGGCAAGCATTCTACCCCTGATTGACATCCCTAGCACTACAGAATACACTTTTGAGAAATCAGTGCCCAAAATCCAATTTTTTAATAGTGTAAATTTTCAATTTTAAAGAAATAAATACCCAGGCAATGGTGGCACACACCTTTAATCCCAGCACTCAGGAAGCAGAGACAAACGGACCTCTAAGTTCAAGGTCAGCTTGGTCCACAAAGCAAGTTCCTGGACAGCTATGGCTACACAGAGAAATCCTGTCTCAAAAGAACATAAACAAATAAATAAATAAATAATGCTTATCAAGTTGTAGGCCTTGAAGGCACAGAGCAATATTCATAGTCCCCATGCCAGAAGTGACTATAGCCACTCTGTCACACAGTAGGTCTCATGGTTGTTCTAATGACCTCAGGTCACCTCAGGCAAGTTATAAATATGAATCACTATTTTAAAAAACACTTTAAAAAGCAAGTTGCAGATATTAGAATCCCTTCTAGTTCATAACCAGATCCTAAAAAGTTTTAAAGCTTCCTATAAAATTATCTTTGGCCCAGGAGAGGTGGCTTACCACATGTAGGAGGCTGAGGCAGGAGGATCCTGAGTTCAAGGATAGCCAAGACTACATGACCAGGTGAAGTGAAGGCAGAGAATGAATAAGTTCCCATCAACGATGACTTTCCCATAGACCCAACAAATGACCTGAAGCCAATGTCCAGGCACTGCATAGAGAGTCGAATCAATTACCTGTCTCATTGCTGTGACAAAATACTAGACAAAAGCAACATAAGGAAGGAAAGGTGTATTTGGGCTCACAGAGAGGGCACAATGTGTCATGGTGGGGAAGGATCTTGGGGTCACACTGCACCCACATTCAGGAAGCAGAGAGAGATCCCTGCCCTACAAGTGGTACCTCCCACATCCAGAGTCAGTCTTCCCTCCGAAAGCCCTCACGGACACGCCAGAGTCTCATCTCCTGGTGACCTGAAATCTAGTAAAGTAGACAAAGGAGATGGACCACACCAGGAATTTACCAAGGACCAGTCCTACTGTCCTAAGGATATCAAAAAGGGGATGTCCAGGACCAAGTCCCAAATAACTGGGCTCTGTCTGCACTGCCTTCCTCACGAGTGCCTGCCAGAGATAACTGGACATTTGCTTCCAAAGCAATGTAATCAAACACTCTTTCAATACAGATGTTCATGAGATATGCCATTGGGTTCTCTGTGACCCAGGCTGGACAGGGTCTCACAGAATATACTGAGACACTCCCATTCTTTAGCAAGCACCTGAAAGTCTTGTGGCTTTTTTTTTTCAATACCTTAGATGTTGTGCTCCAAAAATAGGAACTTTGGTGACAATCAGTAAATTTTTTTAAGTTACATGCTTATAAAACAATAAACTAACTAGTGCAGTTAAAATGAGGTCCACTGTGCAGGGGCTAGGGAAAAACTGGAGTTGGAGTCAGCTTAACCACACCAAGATGTCTGACCTTCAAATTAATTAACCTTTCTAAGCTCCATTTTCTTGGTCTATTTTTTTATTTTGTTCACTTTTATTAATACAAAACATCCTAACAGAATGTTAACTCTTTTTTTTTTTTTTGGTTTTTCGAGACAGGGTTTCTCTGTGGCTTTGGAGGCTGTCCTGGAGCTCGCTCTGTAGACCAGGCTGGCCTCGAACTCACAGAGATCCGCCTGCCTCTGCCTCCCGAGTGCTGGGATTAAAGGCGTGTGCCACCAACACCCGGCCAGAATGTTAACTTTTAAGATAACTAAGATTACAAATAAACTGTTACTATCCAATAAACTAATAATATTCACTTGACTCTTAATTGAGTTATTCTCTATTAGAACAGTTATTTTCTCCAGTTTATTTTAAACTGCCTTATGGCTTCAATGAAATGTCTTAGCCCTTGCTTACTGAATAATTTATTTCAGTTGGAAATTTTCTCATGCCAAAACACTTCCTTGCAAATTAACGTATTTTTCTAAGCCTTCTATTTTGTCGCCTTAATCAACTTTATGAGTGTCCCAGTTTCTTCATATATGCAACAGGAGTTGATTTCAAATGACAGAAGCTAGGGAAGAACACAGACCATCAATGCACTTGTAAAACAGATAAAGCTTCAACTGTACTTTTAAAGATTCCATCTTCTCCAGGACATGGGAATTTCAGATGTCTGCAGGTTTTCTTCAGACCCCTTGGCCCCCAGTTAGAGAAAGAGATGCAGGCTAGCAGTCCTTAAACAGCACTTACTCTAGAAAGACCGGCAGAAACACCTCATGTCTTATGAAGAATCCCTCAAGTAAACTGAACATCATATGCAAGAGAGACAATTTTCAGACAGCAGCATTCTGAATGACTGACAAAAGAATAGTTTGAGAGAAAAAAGAACTTCCGTCCTGAGGAATTTTTATATATCCATAAATCGCATAACCAACCCATGCAAGTAATATTTTTATAAGTTAAAAGTCACCATGAATTACAGAATTGCATATCATACAAAGCTTAAGAGGCACATTTCTACTATGAACCATTGAGTTTTTTGTTATCTTAAGCACATCTTAATCTAAACTGAAACATTACTCAGACCTTTTGATTTAAAATATAACCAAAGAAAATAATTACACAGTCTGAAAACGCAAGTCCTGGTCTATTTTTTAAATGAGTTTAAGAATAGTCTTACATCATAAGGGGGTCTAAGGACTACCCAACATAACTTAAAGCATCAAACTTCATGTCTGCAATTTAATTGATGTCAAAGGACTGACTGTTATTAGTAGCCCCAATGAATACTGCCGTGGAAGGTTCATGCTATGTTAAAAAAAAAAAAAAACAGCCCAGCCTCCCTTGGTCCTCTGCCATATTCCACTGTCCCTGAGTCCTGGGTAGCGGTCCCCAAAACATATAAATTAATCCAGCAAAACAGTCACACTCGTGAAGAAGTGAAGAATTTTAAAGGAAAACACAAGTGATGACAGTGGGAAATGCCTCCCCCCCCCCAGCTCTGCTCCACGATGTCACTCACTCTGGAGGGCACGGCCATTGGAAGCTCTCCTTCTGGTTTAGAGAAGAGAATCCAGGTTCTCAGCAGTAACATCAAAGCTTCAGCCACCCTGTCAGTTCTGGTACTCTAACTCTGCAATGGCCATAGGGTACTAGGGCTGCCACTTCCAGGCCAGCATCATCTCCTCTTGACATTCTGACCCAAATTCACACAGGTAGCTCACTGGTTACCTGAGTTACACCCCCTTTCCAAGCAGAAGCCCTGAGTGACACTCGCCTCAATGTTTCAGTATCACTCATAGTGAGCACACTAAGGAGATGAGGGAAGTGGGGTTTGGCCATCAGAGCCACATAAAGCCTCTAGAAAGAATTTGGTGCTAGCCTCAAGGAAGGAGGAGCCGTGGAATGGCTTTGAGCAGCGGTGTGCTATGATCAGAGCACTTAGTACCCCACCACCCTAGCCTGCTGCTCTGTTGAGAACTTCTACACATGGAAGCTGGGACCAACCAGGTCACTTTGCTCTCAAGCTCTGAGGTGACCAGTGCAAAGAGGTGGTGACACAGCAGACCTCTGGCAGGCTATAAAAGATAGGAAAGTGTCACCATCCTTTACTGGTGTCCTGCAGCTCCCTCTAGAGTGATCTTGCCTACATTCCTGAGATGCTGGGCAAGTTTGGCCTGCCCTACTCAGACAGGATCACACTCCACACACCCATCACAACCAGAATAAGGTGAAAAGAAATAGAGGAAGATTCCCTATATTAACCTGGGTTATCAAAAGCATGAGCATATTCATCCATGCACACATATATGTGCCCATACACATACAAACGTGCATTCACAGCACACACACACACACACACACACACACACACACACACACACACACGAAAAAAGTTTCTGAAGCCATACGCGCTGCTTTCCTGCCTCACAATCCCAGCTGTTCTCCCAGTAGAGTCTTGGGTTCGGAGTCTTCCTTGTGCTCAGCCTGTGTAGTCACACCCTGGTCACCTTCCCAATGGTGCTGGCACCCTCAACTTCCTCCATTTCCATTTCTGCTGCCTCCAACCTAGACAGAGGCACCCACCAGGGTCCTGAGAGCTCTCCACTTTGTTCCTGCGGTCAGGAAGCTGAGGAAGGAGGGCTGTGTGAGTTTGAGGCTAGCTTAGGCTACACAGTTATGGGAGGGAAGAAGAGTAGAAAGGAGCTGTGTTGTCCTGGCAGTGGAAAAATTAGTGACTAGGCAAGGCAAGAGCTTTCAGGGATAGACTCCTGGGTGAGTGGACCTCTTCAAAGTAACCTTCCCTGTATTTTCAACTAAAATTGGCCAATCCAAGCATGTCCATGGGGCATGTCTGTCTGTCACATCAATCTTTCACATATGTGGTTTGAGACTTTCCTTTTTCTTTTTTTTTTAAGCAGAGTCACTCTACATAGCTCTAGCTGTCTGGAGCTCATTATGTAGCCCAGACTGTCC